GCTGACACACTATATTAAAATCCCTTCTTTTCTTCCTCTTGCTTTTTGCATAATTTCTTAAGTTATTTTACAAATATTCTTATGGAGTAAGTCAGTAATGTATAATTCTCTTTTGCTTCCTTTCTCTGTACTTGAAGGAGCCAGCCAAGATGAAAGAATTTCTTTAGAGAGAAAAACGTATGCTCCTAAGTGAATAATCAGAAACATTGGACTTTACTGAATTATTATAGAAATTATAAAACAACTTACCATCATCTTCTCCTAGAAGAAAGAAAATAAATGTAAATTAAAAAAAATACAGCATTTTTTAAAAAGGCTGCTTTCACTCAGTAAGGGAAATAAAGTGTCCCCTACTATATTATATTAGTATAATAATCATTCGTTAAGCATCAAGACAATTTTTCTTTTATACAGGAAACTTAGGTCTAAAACAGGGTATATTAAAGGAACTTTAGTTGTAAGGGCACAACTAGGCACATTTCTACATTATATGCTTTATCTTAAGACATGAAAATTCTGGGCTTAACGAAGAAAATTATGGGCAAGTTTCTATGGTCAATTAGAAAGGAGATCAGATAAGCAGCCATTCTTGACCTTCTGGCCAGTACTTTAAAAGTCACAGGTAACAGATGAAGTATAAAAACAACATATATACTATAATACTCAAATACGCTCAACAAATTGCTACTCTCTCAGAAACGCTTATCTTTGAGGTCAACATCAGATTTTTTAAAAATCGGACTCTAAAATACTATGCTTGAACAGAGAAAGATTCTTCCTGTGTCTATGCATGCAGTATGCAGTATGCATGCACTGTGCCATTAGCTTTTAAAACAGGATTCTTGGTTGAATTCAACTGTCAGATCTTCAGTTTTAAAAAGCAGTGACTAAGTTTTGGCATGGTTCTACATACTGATAAATGCATCTTAGCTTTTCATGTTGTATAGCTTTTTTGAATTAATCAATTCTTAATCTTATACTAATTCCATTTTATTTGAAATTGAATAATAATGTTGTTAGTACAAATAGCATATACTTTATGCTACTATTTAAGCTTTCATCTTTAAGAAAACCATTTCCTTGTGGAACCCGTCTTCCAGTAACATTAAGAAGATACTATTAACATAGCAAGGAAAAAAAACAAAACAAAAGACATCACATTGTGTTGTACTGGCCCATAAACACCAAGGTGACGAAACTAAGTTTCAGCCACCTCCTCATTTTGCTCCCTGCCCGCAGGGATTTTTAGTATTTTCCTGGAAAGATTTTTCTAACTCTTATGGGGTGAGGAATGAAGAATCTGATTAGGCATGATTCAGAAAATAGTTACATATGCAGTTTAATTTACTCATACAGAGTTTTATTGACTGTTGAGATTATTTAGCTGGAAAAAGGTTAAGCACATGCAACCAGGGAGAATCAAAGCTATTTTAAAACAGTAAGATTAGAATTGTTTTCTTTCAATGCCATGATCTTGCTTCTGCCAACTTGTTTGTATTTCTACATGGTAAAATAAGACAGAAGATGGGCAAGGTGCTCCTTAGAGAGAAACTGTTTCAGAGGCCACCTTGTCCTATATTCAGTAGACAGAAGATTTAGCTGGTGTAAGTCGTGGAGAGAAAACAGGTTTTTCATGAAGAGCCAATTTTGCAGGCATTTAGCTGTGGCCCTGCCTCTTGGTGCCAATTGAAAGAAGGGCCCTGGCAGCTCCACCCCTCACCTCCGATTGGTGGAGAGCTCCTTCACTCAGTTTACCTCACTGCTGCTTTTTTTTTTTTGGTTGTGTTCATGGGAAATAGTAGGCAACATAAGATTTTCTGGTGATCACGGCAATCGTGGACAACACTTTTTTGTGGTTTCCGCAAAACCATGAGTCAAGTAGGTCCCTACCTATATTTTGCCTGCTTTCAGATTAGCATGCCTTACTACAGTGACGCAAGAGGATGTTAACAGACATAAACTACAGTATAACATATTAATTTAAATACTCTGTAATGGAAAAAAGACACTGTATTGTACCAAAAGTGATTTGAAGATTTATTTTTTTTTAGCAAGCACAAAATATACTTAAGAAACTTACCTCTGCTAGGTGCCAGCGGATTTAAAGGACGATAGACAGATCGAGGCCTGAAAAAAACAAAATAAGAATAACTTATTTTTTTTGTATGAAAGGATGTTATTTTTCAGTTATAAGCCACCTTCCCACTTTTCCCAGTTACTTGAAGCAGTTTTCTTCATAGATGCTGTTCCACACTCTCCATGCAGAAGGCCCTTTGTATCCAGTATAACGTTCTGGATTCAGCAGCAAATCCACATATTGGGCATCTGGAGATCTCTCATCTAAACAGGAAACCTTTTGTTACATATTCTAACTAATCACTTTAAAAGGCCTTACAGTCATTTACAAAAAAAACCAAAACAAAAAAAACCCAATCAATTATACAGTACTATGTAAAAGTGAGATAACTGGCATAATATAATTTTGATCTCCAATATGATTTTAATGCCATCACACACATTCTATATGTAATGTGCAGTTACAAAATAAATGGAAACATTAAATAGAAGATAGAATAAAATCAATGCAGTTTCTTGTGCTAGTCTCATCACCATAGTATTTGTGTACTTACCAATATGACAGCATTGTCATGTGCTTATTCTCACGTTAGCACAAATACCATATACTTTATGCTACTATTTAAACTTTCATCTTTAAGAAAACCCTTTCCTTATGGAACCTGTCTTCCAGTAACATGGAAGTATGTGTTCGTGCCAAGGGAAGTATTTTGGCCCCCATCACGTTATATTTGTGGTATGATTAATGTGTTTGCACCATAAATTACAAATGGCATACATTCAGCCAATCTGAGCCATAATTGGCAAACCAGCTACAAAGATATTCCACATAAAGTAAAACATCTTTGTGGCTGGTTTATATGGCACCTTAAAAATGAACACATGGTGTGTGTTGTGTTCCAGATGTGGGCTGCCTCACCTGTGCCAACAGTCAGATGAATGCTGGCATTAGACCCAGATCTGAAAGCGGACCCAAGGCTGTCCAGCTGGTGTCAACAATGACTGTCAGCACTGGACAGCACCAGGTTTCTAGCTAGAATGAAGTTCATGCCTAGAGTCCAGGCTAGATCCATCTCCTGCCTGATCTGCAGGGCAGCCCCATAGTGAAGCGATTGGGATCGGATGAATTGTCCCAAACAAGAACGCACTGTTGGGGCATATAATTCCTCAGATATGAATTGTGCCATTATTTTAACATCTGCCAGGGTGCAAATATAGTGCTTTGTTTGGACTGTTTGACTGGGTTTTTTAAAAACATTTATAAATGAGAAAGGCAGGGTTGAAAACATGCATCTTGCATTTGATGAAGTCTGAGGTGCAATTTTATAAGTTTTCACTTCCTGTGGGTGCACATTCTACAGTCTTGAGTTATTTTAAACATAGGCCCAAGCCTGAAAGCTGTTTCACCTGTGTCACAATACCTGTATGCAAGTAGTCCCACTGATTTTTACCTACTTAGAAGTTAAGCAGATTTTTAAAAAAACATTAGTACTAAAAAAAACCCAAAACAAAACAAACAAAAAACACAGACCCAACCCCTCAGTTTTTCAAATTAAGTTGTTTCCAAAATGTGAAAACACTTTGGAGGAAACTTGCATATTTTCTGAAAGTTCTAACTAACCTTACAAGATGTGTTTCTGAAATTGTATCTGTTAGCTAAAAGGAACTTGATATTTTTAAACACATTTTAGTCTAAGTTTTTTTTTCCCTTTAAATATTAAATTTAACCTTTTTGCTAACCAGGATTAATTTCCAGTGCATTTGAGGCTGTTTCCTTTCTTTAACTAGGAAAAGCTGTATATTGAAGTTCATTAAGTAATTTCCCTTATTCCTTGCAGAAACTGGTTTCAGCTAATTTAAGGATTATTTTTTAGAAGTCATAACAATAACTTTTCACAAAAGTTAAACATTTTACTAATGCTCTAACATTAATCCAATGATATTTTTCTGACTTAAAACTGTTTGCTTTTTAGGTCAGCGAAAACTGGAAAGATCACAAAAATAAGACGTGATTTGCCATGCCAAAAACTGCAATAAAAGTTTTGTTGTTTGTTTTTTTTTAAATCTAGTAACTAATGTCTAATACACTTAAATAAAAAGCCAATTAATGCTGCTGAGCACTTACTCTTATACTGCTAAAGAGAGCTGAAAAAGTGGAAAGTGAAAGCTGTTCTGGCAATGAAAGAAAATGCTACTAATAAAGAAGTGAAGAATCTCTTCAGAAGTTGTTAAAGAACAGCAAGGGGCAAAAGGGAAACAGTCAGTAAAATAGAGCCATCTTGAGAAACTGAGAAGGAAAGAAGTACACAGCAGCTGAAGTGGTTGTAAAAAGAGAACAAATGCTTGTCCAGGAGGTGGGTTCTAGAGCTCCTGTACTAGTAGAAAGAATCTCAAAACATTTTAAATATTGTCCCATGCAGTTTCTTCCTTTCCTTTTTGAAACAGGGGCTTCCTGCCCGTTATTAGTAAGTGCCGCACATCAAATCATTATTTGAGGCTGATGCCTTCTATTAATGCAGTATTTAGAACTTGGAGTGACAAGTTCCGATATCTTATTTAACCACTCAATATAACATTGAAGTGAATCTTTCTTTCAGTAGTTATTTGCACAATACCTTTCCGTTTGTTTAGTAACAGTTATTATAAAGTAAATTTGTTTTTTTTTTAAATCGATTAGTCAGATTTTTAGTGAACATAACAACAAAAAACCTGAAGTTTCTTCCATTTACCATCAAGTTCACAAAAATGGTCCTGTGAATCATCATATCTTGCCCAGTCAATGAAAGCCTCTTTACTTTGGTTACTAAAAGAGGGAGGGGAAAAAGAGACAGAGAGAACAAGAGAAACAAACAGTGAATTTCATTTGACTTAAAATATTTTATTTTAAACATATACATGAATAATGTCAAAATTAACATTCATAAACCAAGTACATTAGATATAGAAAACTGACATTCATTTTCATACTACTTCTGGAATTAATTTTTTAAATGACTGTAGATGTGGTTCAACATGTTAATGACCTATTGCTTGTTAGTTGTTAATTAACATAAACCCGACAAAGCATGAACAAGAACTTTATTACATACTACTAAGCAGAATGGGGGCAACCTTTTTGGCAGGAGCACTACAAATCAGCCCCATTCCCACACTCTGTGCCACTCCAATCCCTTCCCTTGCCCAATTTCCCATTTTTCCGTTCCCTGCCGAGTGCTCCATCTTGATCTGCTTTTTACTCCCTGACCTCTCTCCTCCCCAATCTGTCTCACGTCTCACAGAGGTACCTAGGCCACTTGTGCCACAGGTTGGCCATCCACCCTCACTATAGAGAAAACTCTGCAAAACAAAAACAAATCTCTGCCATGGAAGACTGCTTTGTATTCTGTATTATTAGGGACCTACTCAATTCACAATTATGTGGAAACCACAAAAATCACACATTGTCTGCAAAACGAAAAAAAAAAAACCTTACTAAAAATAAAATGCTGGCTCCCTAGTGGGAACCAGCATACTAATGGCCACTGCAGCCTGGCCTGGCAGCTTGCCAGGCGAGGAGGAAGCTGATGTCATGAAGTGGAGCAGCCAAGATGGCAGCCACTCCCTTCTCTTCCAATTGGCTAAGAGAGCTGCTGATCATGAAGCCACAGTGGTGAGGGGCAAGGCCACTGCAGCCTTTTAGCCAGAGGCATGGGGGCAGCCAGCCATGATAAGCCCACAAAAATGGCACGTGGCCCCATGATCTGCCTGCAAAATCAGCCACCTGCCTCCTTGATTTTGGTAGGTTCCTTATATATTATAGTACAAAACTGACAGTGTTTTCTAACATATCATTATAAATGATTGTATGTATAGATTTTTTTTTTTTTTTTTTTAAGTAACTGAACTTAAAACACTTCCTTAACCCTTGCTCACAAAACATTTTGTAGTATTTTTAGGTCTTTAGTTGTTAACCCTTTTCACCCAAAATGTAAGCCACTTATTACCAAATTTCAAGGCCATCACTAATAATCTATCGCACAGTAAAAAAAACCCTATGTGCCTTGAAAATAAAGGAAACAGTACTAGGGGTATTTGTTTATTTAGGTAAATTCTACTAACAGTCCACTGAAGAATCAAAGCACTTTCAGTAATCAAAACTGATATTCACACAAAGTTGTAAGTGCCTGAACCAACAGCTTAAACACCAACCTAAGCCCTTCCCCAAGGGGTGATGGGGAGGCAAGGGGACGATCCTTCTAATAAGTCTAGGAAGATGTGTCCTGCTCTGAAGTTCAAAGTAACTGAGCAAACAGGGAAGCCACAGAGGGTAGCTGCAAACTAAACAGGCCACAATGTTGCCCCGCTCCTCACAAACATGCACATGCACACAAGGTGAGAGGAACCCAACTTCACGCATACCACCTAGGCAGACTTTGTGCTTTCTGCAGCCCCAGGTACCACTTCACCTTGTTGGCTTCAGTCAAAACTTGGCGTGGGGTGGGGGGCAGGGAAGGATCCTGGTTAAGCAGAAGGCTAGTTCTGATTTACTCTGAAAGGTATAGAGGTCTTTAAAATGTAACCTACCTCTTCCATAAGTGTCTTTAAAAAGAGATTCTTCAGCACTTTACAGGAAAAAATTGTGACAAAAGTATATTCTGAAGTTACCTGCCACTTCCTTGCCTGACACTGGCCATTTCCAACCCACCAGGAGCTCTCTGTCAGAAGTAAACCGACTGTGCCCGTCACATCAAGAATGATGTATTCAGGCCTTTAAAATTACAGTCAGGGTGACTTTTGCCTATGAAAGATGCCAATTTAAAATGTGTGAAGGGAAATGTGTTGCATCAGCAAGAATTCCTCCCTCTCATATTACAGATCAGATCCTTCCCAGGATACAAGTCAGGGAGGAAAATCTAGTTCTCTTGTTCTTTCCTGAACTCTGGTATGTTTCATACTGATTATAGTGAATACAATATTCCAACAAAGAAAAATCATCTAAAATTATATTGCACCCTTTTCTTGACTTCAAGGTATCATACAACCCCATCCCCTGAGCACAAACACAATAAGCTATATGTGCTAGCTTACCCAAAACTGAGCAAGGTTAGTTCCATCTGCTGTTAAGGAAAGTTTACCAAACTCTGGTATAAATGAACTTCTGTCCTTCATTTGTACTATTTAACTTTAAGCACAGCTTACCTTAATGTACTGTTCACTGCTCCTAGTTTGTTAGCTTGTTCACAGTCTTCCAACTCTTTGGTGTTATTTGCCGCTTTTGAGTACTGTAAGACAAGTTATATTCAGTATAAAATTCACATCAACTAAAATGCCCTTCACTTTACTCTCTTCCTCAGGAAAGTTGAAATTCTGTGATAAACAGAAGTTTGCTGGCATGGGGGGGGGGGG